ACATTTATGAAAATAAAGTATTTTTTTCATATGGCCTTCCTCTTTTCTTTCAAGCAAGCATTTGTGACCTGCTGTAATTCATAAAACATAATCCCTGCACCAAAACGCAGATTCAGTCGATGTGCACGCATAAATGATTTAGATGTAAGTTTTCCAGATCTATGTTTAATTAGCCTGAGTTAATTATTTTGAGGTGAAAAAGTTCCAGAGCTACTCGTACAAGGGTGAAAAGCTTTTCGCCTTGGTAAGCTGTTTTCCACGGTGAGGAATAAACATAGTAAAATGCTAACATATGCTAATTGGAGTGCTTGCATTTCCATTTGCCCGCAGAGAATAGTGGGGTTCATTAACTGAACAAACAGAACCTCCTCTCTCGAAATATCACTTTAATTAAGACCACGAACAGGAATACAAGGGAGGAAAGGGAAAGGATGGGGGTGGGGGGGCTCTTAACTCCAAATGCCACACCTGAATCTGTGCAAGGGGGCCTGTGGCTTCTCTCTCTATGTATGCCCTTTTATTTCTTTCTTCTCTGGGAATTAGTTCACAGCATCAACAGATGGGAGCTGGCCACTGGCCAGAAATAAGCAGGGTAATTAGGTTGTCCTATGGCTCAGATTGAAAATAATGTCGTTAATAAGGAAACGGGTGTCCATAGAGAGCATGGAGGGGAGCAGAGTAACCTTCTCTGTAGTAAGGTGATCCACAGGGACAGTGGAAGGGGCAGCCATTTTTAGATCGGCTTGGCTCATTTTCAGGTTTTGATCCTTGAAATAAAGTGGAAGTTGGACATTGTTTTTTTCTTTTCTGTTTTAAACACGTTCAGAAACGCCAAATTCATGTATATAAAATAGATCACATACATATCAGCTTCCTTTAAAGTCAGCAACTGGTGAAATTGTAGTTAAATGATTAAATATAAAATCTCAACGTTTCTTCTCTTACAGCATAGCAGGACTTGTAACGCAGACAAACTCGCGTCATTTCCACATCATGTAACCATTACTGTCGGTCGCACTGGGAGCTGTCCATTGTCATAGTGCTGAAACGGCTTTGTCCATTTGTGCCTCTAAATCCAACTGCAACGTTTCCTGTTGTCCACCAGAGGGCGCTTAGAGCACGGTGCAGCAGGCTGGATTTAATGCTTTCACAGCAGCCTCTCACATACATAAATCATGACCTCTTAAAATGTTTTGTTTTTAATTTTTAAGTAGTGATAAGAAAACAAATTCATGAGGTGTAAATTATGCTCGTAGAATACAAATAAATTACATACCCCTCCCCCCTCTAATGTCAGTGTTTTTTTAACCAAAAAAATACCAATAATGCAACAACATAACATAAGATGAAAACGCTGTTACAACACTGTTACAACAACCTTGCATTCATTAATGTAAAAAAAAAAAAAATGCACTACTTAAATGAAGCAATTGAATGTTGCAGCTTGCTGTGGTGAAAAGCTTTAAATACTGTTGATTACATTAATCTCTGTTTGTTCGTTTTTTTTAGTTAACCACATCTTACTCTGCAAACTAACTACTACAATTTCCCCCAAAATATAAATACATAAACAAAGTAGTTGAGTAAAAAACACACAATTACACAAAGAAACATAGATGAAATGTAGTTTAAATACTCAAGTAAAGGACAAAAAAAGGACAAGTGCCTCCGAAAACTACTTAGTAAACTGTAAGTTAAGTTATTTATATATTATAGATGTTTAAATTTGATTAATTTATGATCACAACGTTTTCACAGTAAATATACTGACCAGTTTTTCCACAGAATAGTTCCCCAGTAGAGGGCATCATTGAGTAAAAATGATTTTAGTGATCCACTTTTTTAAAACTCTTATCCAACCCAGGGAGAAGTGTTCCCCTCCAAACAAAACTTGTTGGACAGAAAATATAACAGAAAATATTATGAGGACACCGTGTAGTGTACAAACAAAACAAACAAGCAAAAACAAAAAACTGGTCAAATCTCAGTGGGAGTCATACTGTCTGTTGCATGGGCCCCCATTTTTTGTGTCTCTGAAGCCCGTTATGACTCTGTCTGTTTGCTTAGGGTTGTTGTCATATGGGCAGATCAGATTTTTCACTAATAGTCTCGTGCGTGATAACATCTGAGCCTATATTGCAAAGCCTAGTGCGTTCTTGGCACAAAGCATAATGAAAAAGTAATTTAAAAAATTGTAATAAAATGTAATAAAACTTTGGCAGTCAAGGAGTACTCCCAGTACTACCACATATATTAGTGATCCACCATTTCATGTGTAAGATGGCTCCTTGTACATTTTTAAACTTAATTTTCAATCTTAAAGATAATTAAATAAATGTAACAATCATTTCCATCAAATCTGACTTTTTATATACAGTGTGCATGATTTTTTTTAAATGTAAAGTTGTGGTTTCAGATAATAAAATGTTTTAAATAAAGCATTCCAAACCATGAATTTACATAAAGTAGTGACTCAGACACATTCACATTCTAGTGACCAGTGCTGTTTCCAAATTAGTTTCATCTTCAACAAATCTAAAATTATTTTGACCAAGACTATTTATTAGAAAAAGTCAGGTTTCACATTTTTAGAGGCATTTTCTAGCCAGTCCTTACATTGTATGTACAAAGGCAATGGCATTTTAAGCAGTGATTGATTAGAAAATAACACATGTTGAATTAACAAAAAAAACCTACAAAAAGGGAAGATTACAGTTGGGTGTGACCTGCTTAAAGCATCCATAGATACAGGCCAGACTCACCTAGTCCACTTGTGGGACCAGAAATAATAGATAATCAGATAACTGAGGTTAGATTGTTAGAGGCTGTGATGATCACTGGCACTCCTTTTGGCTCTTTTAAACGCAGGGTTCTCCTCATCACGATGAACTGTCAGCTTAGGTCTTTAAGGGAAACTTGATGGATTCAAGGATTCAAGGAGCTTTATTGTCATTCATCACATGTTTACATGAGGTGGAACGAAATTACGTACACATGGTCTTGGGGCGAAAAGAAACAGACTAATGAAGAAACAGTATTTTAAATAGTAAGTAAATTAATAGTTAAAAAAAACAAAAACAAATACCAGTACCAGTCGGGAGAATAGATATAGAAATGTAGGTATAAATACTTTAGCAGCAAAAGGGCATAATGACCAGCATTGATAAAGTGACGGTGTCAGTAAGTGTCTTATTGTAAACTGTGATGTAATCCAGTTGTGGTACAGAAGGTAAACCACAATACCCAGGCCGGTGATGTGTAGCTCTCTCTCTTCTGTGAACATGACGATCCATATACAGTGGAAGTCCCCAGTGAGCTGTTTATTACATTTATCAATCCCATTCTCCTTTGCCTTAAAACTATTGCACAAAAACACTTTTCCTTCTACGGGCTTCTCACAAGAGCAGTTATGAGTGTACTTTAATGAGCAGATAATAATTTTATTGCAGCCCGGAAATACTTCCAGGCACTAAGTGTACTGAGTGTATCCTTGACTATCATAGAGCTCACACTAATTAGAACATTGTGTAACATATTTTTTTTCCATCAGTGAGATCTGCCTGTGGATCGCAGCTTGTACTCTGGCTTGCAGAGTACAACAGTCAGACTGAAATCAGGAACATAACGGTGCATGATAACTGTGTGCAAACATTTCACATACACAGCCAGTGGTGGGAGGTGAAAAGCTGACCTTAATTTGCCTTTTTGTCAAGAACTTTGACAAAACAGTAATCTAAAAGGAGACGAACTGCACGGTGAGAGATTTTGCTAAGGCAGCTGCAGTAAACTCTGACACGTGCTCTTGCTCTCTATCTTTCTCTCTTTCTCTGCCAACTGTAAACATCCTTTGATTAAGAGTATCACTCTTTCCTGATTCCAACCAGTCAGATTTTGGCACTACTCTCTGCTGCTGTCAGCTGTCAAATAGGTGTCAGATCAAGGAGGGACGCACGTCTCCTTCACACAATTCACCTCCAGGTTTTTATCCCAGTGTCTTCTCACTGATTACATCACACCCACCCACATCTTCATTATTGTTCTTCACCCCTACTGTACCTCTCAAATGTGTAGCCTTGTGGAGTATATGTGGTAAAATCTAGTAAACACTTGACTCCACTTACACTTCAACTGTTACTTATTGTGGATGTTTACCCTAAAAAACTTTCTGTTACTTGAGCCTCCTTAGACTGAATGTCCCCCCCCCCCCCAAACTACTATAAAGTTAAATGCATACAATGTGTTTGTTTTAGTCCAATACCTACTTCAACTTCACTACAATTTGGCTGCTATCTTGTAGAGACTCACTACATGCAGATTTCTTGACTGTTTCTATATTACAGGCAAAAAAAAACATGTTTTAAACTTTTAAAAATTAATATAAACGTAAATGGAAATAAAAGTCACAAACTACAAACTGTAAAGTAGCATCTACTAGCACAGGTCATTTGCCAGCTTAGGGCAGACTGTAGTAGGCTGGCATCAAGTAGTAACAGCGCCAACAGGCTTGTGTATAAAGGCACAGAAAGCTAGAAAGGTTTATGTCTTTATTATACAATCATATACCTCAGTGATGTAGGAGCTGTTATATACAGCTGTTTTAAATCATCTAGTGGCATGTAAATAAAATAAAGACATGCCAACTTAAGGATAGTAGATTCTTTTATCCTCCATGATTTATTCCCTTGTTATAAAGACCTCAGACAATATTTGAAATTAATCCTTTACTATTACAAAACAAACAACTGTCTTTTGAAGACATGCCCGATGAATGAGAGATGTTGTCAGGATAAAGCACACAGTGCTGCTCGTGCGCCTGTGTGTGTTTGGGGATGTCCTTTCATGCGTCAGTGCCTTGCGAAGCCGCAAAGCTGATTTCAGAGCTGAAGAATTCAATACACTATGTTCAGCGTGTATCGCACGGTGTCACTGTTGACCACTAGAGCACACTACCACACTACTCTTCTTCTCTGAAGTCACGACACACCCATTTGTAAAGGCAAAGGACACTGCTTTCTTAAATGGGCGCTTATGATTATTTACACACAGAACCTTAATTCATTCATGTCTATTGTTTTTCTGGATTTTTTTTTTGCAAAGATACTCTGTGAAATCTTAAGAATCACAGACATAAAACGGCTTTTAGGATCTGGCTTATTTTTTTTCCTGCAAAGGAAAGGATGAGATTTTGCATTGCCGTCTTTGTCTTGTGTTCAACATGGCCAGCCGCTTTGTCGGTGACACGGTACTCCATACCCGAGGAGAAGGAAAGGGGATCTGTTGTGGCTAATCTGGCTGCAGATCTGGGACTTGAGCCAGGAGGTTTGGCGCAACGAGAGGTAAAACTTGATATTTTTTCCAACAAAAAATACCTAGATTTTAACAAAAAGACGGGCGAACTGTACATCGTAGAAAAATTGGACAGGGAATATCTTTGTCCGGCAAAACCCGCGTCCTGCTTTTTAAAGCTCGATGTGATCATAGAAAGCCCCTTACGTATCTTCAACATTGAGCTTGGAATAACGGACATAAACGATAATGCTCCACATTTCCGACGTGACAGAGTAGAGCTCGACGTTTCAGAATCTGCAACGCCAGGCGAGAGGTTCTCCCTGCCCAACGGCGTGGATCCAGATGTTGGTATAAATACAATTAAAACGTACAAACTCAGTGTTAGCGAACACTTCACAATCGAAATTCAGACAGGTAGCGACGGAACTCAGTATGTAGACTTGGTGTTGACCAAATCGTTGGATAGAGAACAGACTGCTGTTCATAATTTAATACTGACTGCAGTGGATGGCGGTGTCCCGGTGCGCTCTGGCACTGCTAATATTATTGTAAGAGTACAGGACACAAACGATAATCCCCCACGGTTTGATAAGCAGACTTATACAATTAACATGACGGAAAATACCCCAATAGGGACCTTAGTGGTGAAGCTAAACGCCTCGGACCTTGACGAGGGTTTGAATTCAGAGATTGTGTACTCATTCACCCTTTACACGTCGGAGAAAACACAAGAGGTGTTTTCACTGAATCATAACACTGGAGAGATAACTGTGAAAGGAACTATAGACTATGAAGATATGAAATTCTATGAGATGCACATCGAGGCCAGAGACAAAGGCACGCATCCCTTGCTTGGTCAGTGCAAAGTGGTCGTTAATGTGAAGGACATGAACGATAATTATCCGGAAATCATCATACAGTCTGTTAAAAACACTGTGGAGGAGAACGTAGCAGTAGGAAGTGTTATTGCACTTGTAGATATAAGTGATAGAGACACGGGGGATAACGGAGAAGTAAGCTTAACTATACATCGACCCATGCCCTTTACAATTAATACATCTTCAGATCGACCCATGCATTACAAGCTCATTGTGTCCGAGCCTTTAGATCGCGAAACAGTACCTGAATATGACATTACTCTAATTGTAACAGACGCAGGGATGCCACCTTTATCTGATAATGAAACAATAACTGTCCATCTGCTCGATGTTAATGACAACGCGCCACAGTTCCCCCAGTCATTTTATACTATACGTGTCATGGAGAATAACGCACCTGGGGCCTTGCTCAGCTCACTCACTGCCTTTGATCCTGACCTCCATGAAAACCAGAATCTAGTTTATTTCATAATAGAGAAGGAGATAGCCAACACCTCCATGTCCATGTTGTTCTCCATCAATCCAGAGAACGGTAATCTTTACGCACTCAAAACCTTTGATTATGAGATTGAGAAGGAGTTTCTGTTCCACATCGAGGCCAGAGACTCTGGCTCTCCTCCTCTCAGCAGTAATGTGACCGTCCACATCATCATTGTGGACCAGAACGACAATGCTCCAGTTATTGTGTCTCCGTGGCGTGCACACGGCTCTGTGGTGGAGGAAAAGATCCCCAGATCCACTGATAAAGGATCCCTGGTTGCCAAGGTGATAGCCTTGGACACTGACTCTGTGCACAACTCTCGGATCACCTACCAGTTTCTACAGGTGACTGACGCCACCTTGTTCAGTCTGGACCAATACAACGGAGAGATCCGGACTATGAGGATGTTCAGTTACAGAGATCCACGCCACCAGAGACTGGTTGTTGTTGCCAAGGACAATGGAGAGCCTGCTCTCTCTGCTACAGTCACCATCAAGCTGACCACAATGGAGACTGCTGTTAAAGCCTACTCTGACATGACTGAGGAGCCTCTGGAATATGACATCTTCTCAGACATCAACCTATATTTGGTCATCGGTCTGGGCTCGGTGTCGTTTCTGCTGCTCATCACCATATTGGTCACCATCGTGATCAAGTGTCAGAAACCCAAGCCCAGCAAAGCAGCTCCTCCCTCCAGGAACAGTGTGATCAGTGAGAGGAACTCCACCATCGCAGACTCCACTCTGGTCTCCAACGATGCCTACTGGTACAGTCT